TGAGGATCTAACTTGGAATGTCTTTGCAATGGATAATTCTTTTTAGTGATAAATGATGGTTGTATTCTTACACGCTTTATTCATCTTAAAATTTCTTTGTCTCCTCATCTAGTGTTGATAAATATGTAGAAATTTTCATTCTATCTTATTTAAAGTGGAAGCCAATGAATTCTTCTGTATTGACAAAATTAGTTTCTTTTGCTAAATGTTCGTAAAAGGTACACGAATAGCATTGAATTATGTCAACCTTTTTGCCTCTGCAGGTCTTGATGACACTGGTATTCCCTTTGGACCTGTGGAAGGTATATTTACGAACACTTCAGTTCAATCATGCTGAGTAGTCAAAATACCTGTCTGGTATATAGTCGATTATGATAATAGTCAAACATCCTAATTATTAATCATTAAGTATTTGATTTATAAAGTTTCTTCATATTCGCATTGATAAAAAGTCACACAAAACATAATTGTATAAGCCTGGGAAGACTGAGAAGTTCAAGGATGTAAACAACAAATCAAGAACTAAGAATATTTATCAGCTATGAGGATTCCGTAGATTCATAACAAAAAATAATATATCTTTATTTAGTTTTCATCATAATTAAGTGCCTATAAGGTGTCAGATACAGATCAAAAGAACCTCAAAAATTATAGAATCCTACTTTGATGTTACGCTATTGGATAAATCATCACCATTTCCTTCCACGCTGATTTCTCTGTTCAGCTTTAAAAAAGTTACCCAATCACTCTTTGACTGATTTGGAGCATGTTTGGCCAAAAAGAGTTGCTATCTTATGAGACGGGGGCCCACAAATTTTGTGGACCAAAATCTGTAAGTCACCTTGGCTTATCTGGCTTATTGCGGGACCCACAGTGTTGATTTGGTCCACATAATTTGTGGGTACCAAGCTTATAACATAGCAATTCTTTTTATTTTATTTTAACCAAACATGCTCTTGGTCATCTTGATTCTGCTTTTTATTTTTTACGGGTTCTTTTCTTCTTTAATAATGTACATTACAATGGAAGCACTTCCAATGGCAGGTCAACACTCAATTTAGAAAGACGTTTGGACCATGATGGGCTTCCTCTTGCCATCACTGCAGCTGATGCTGTTGCAGCAGGTTCAGTTTATCCATGGAATTGGCGAGAGACTGTGAAATGGTTTGTCTGAATTACAAGTAAAACCTACATACTTTGTTCTATGGTGTGATGTCAATTTTTCTAAGACCATTACGTGGTATGTTTCAAATCATGATTACCTTTTCTCATTTATTCTGGCAATTCTGAGTAGCTTTTTGAGAGATGAAGAGATCCAGGTTGTCCAATAAAATTTCATTCTTGAAGAAAAATCCATTTTTAAATAAAAAACTTGGATATGGGTCAATCTACAATTTTTGACCTCTATGTTCGCTGGTAAATAATTTTTTTATTTTCTATACAGCTGAACGGAGCAACTCATATGACGGGAGGGTTATAACTGTGAAATTGGGGGATTACACGAAAAAGATAGGAATTGATGGCTCTGCCTATGCCATCGAGGAAACTATCAAGTCTTCATTCAGGCTAAGGACAAAGTGTGCATTTTGGTTGGAGGATGAAGACTGTGTAGTTCGAACACTCGGTAGAGATAAGCCTTTTTGGGTATCTATACTCTTCACGTTGATAAAGGTAAAGTTTCTCATACATCAATCTATAATTGGCTAGAAAATTGCTGATAATATTACAGAAGCTCTCTTTTCTGGGGTAAAAGAACAAGGAATTTGTCAAAATATCAGTCTCACAATATTCAAAGTGAAAAACAACCATGTTGTAATTTTCTTTTTTCACTTATAATGCTTTCTTTATAGGTCAAAAGGCTAATATGTCCTTGTTAAAAATAGCCCATCGCTCAAAGTAGCAGGTCAATTTGGTGTGCTCAGTGAGTACATTGAAGATATTTATTGAATTTACTGTACTTGACATACTCGTTAAGCTCATCGAGTTCGTCAAGCACTAAACATGATTTATTTTAACTCGCCATTTCATTTTTCATCGCCATTTCATTTTTCTTCACCATTACCAACCTCTTGAAAATACTATTCTCTGGCTTTCTGCTCATAATGCAAACATATACCATCGGTCTTTATGTTGGCTTCTTGTATTTGAAGAATTCTGAGTAATCGTATGTTAGGAATTCTTAAATTTTGAGCATTGCGAAGAAAGTGAAAAATGCTCGCCCTTTTTCTTTCTCCTCTTCACGGTCCTTCCCAGCTAATTTCCTTTAAATGGAAACCTGAAAAATTCCTCCGGCAAAAATGAAGAGTGGATTGACCCGGGTTGATATCTGATCTCAATTGTTATGTTTCTCGTACACAAACATACAGTTCTATCGTATCATATATTGAGCCGCAGTGTATCAGTGTTCTTTTATTCCTCTTTGCAGGCCTGACAATAAAAGTCTGTTTGTATGAGGAACCAGATCACTTGCCGGTGAGGAACCTTATACACCGAAGATGATTTTCGTGACTTTTTGTCCCAACGTGGCTGGACATGTTTGAGGGAGTACAATGGTTACCGGAGCGTCGACGAGCTTTGTGCTGGAGTGATGTACCGTGGTCAATTAACGACGGATGTTTACATGATTTCGACTTGAGACGTTGCATCTTGCAAAAGCTACTAAGCGATAGACGGGATCACAGCTTTTTGGGATTATTCTTCTCCGATGTTGTGTTTTTGTGGGGAAAAAAATGTGGAACTAGTTCTTGAACAAATGACACACTTGCCCATGTGGAATATTGATTGTATTTATACAATTTTGTTGAATTGTATGTGGAAGTGCACGCGCGAATGATCCTCAGAGATAACGCCGGCCCCGAAAATTTTGAGGCCCTAGACGACTCATCAATATGAGGCCTTTGAATATAAAATTTTTACAAACATAAAAATACTTTAAATGTTTAAATAAATAATATATTTATATTTTAGAAGAAGATTGGGTACAATCTACAAGACAGAATCGCATAAAGTAAAAAGAAATAAAATAAAAATTCCGACAACCCTAGAGACAAGGTTAACATAATATTTAGTGAAATTATTCCGTTTGTGGAAAAAAAAAATTTCATGTAAGTAGTTGTCTTCAAAATTATTAATTAAAAAAACTTGAATGAAGTGCAATTTAAAAATCAAGAAATAGTTTTTAAGAACCATAATTTGAAATCCTTTGAACATTGTATATGACTCGTAAAGAGAAAATTGATTTTTATTTATAAAAAGTATAAAATTTAGTAACTAGATTGCAAAATAGTGAGAAATATATAATTTTTAGATGATAATGTGATGAGTTATGATTATTTAGTGATTAAAAACATAACTAGATTCTTATGATTTTGATTCAAAAACCTTTTAATAAATTCGAGATTTTGAGGGATTACAGTGAAAATAAGTTTTGAGGTCAATAATGTATTTATACCAAATGTGTATTTATTGGAATATCAAAATTATCTTATCAACATTGGACTCATTCCGAAACTCATGATAAATGACACATTATGGACTCGAGAAAATGTTAATTTGGATAAAGCAAATTCAAGTTATAACTCATTAAAATAACTATTTGATATATAATATTAGTTTTTAAATTAAATCAGATGACCCTAACGACATTGAACTCATTTGGTAGCTCAAATTAATCATGTTTATTAAACTTGAGAAATATTAATTTGAATAAGATGGTACTAAGTTAGAATCAACAAAAAATCCTGTAGTTAAATTAATTTTTATAGCTATCTTTTAAATTTAATTAGACTTCTTAAGTGAATTGTTTTTCCATTTTTGAGGTCCCCATATAATTTGAGGCTCTAGGCCATTGCCTTGTTAGTCTTACCATAGGGCCAGCCCTGCTCAGAGATCTATGCATTATCAAGATAAAGCTCCATAAAACTCGTTCGAGTGACAAATATTGGAGAATCAATGGATGAGTTATGGTTCGATCGAAGAAATGTTGTTTTTTTTTAGGGTCTTCCAGGGATGAAAAATGAACATGAATGATTATATTGGTGGAGATGAGTACCAAAACTTTTGTAATACAAAATATTATGATTAAAATGGAGTTATTATTATTATTTTTTAGTATTAAATTATCGAACTTCTTACTAAACTAAGTCGTTGCAAACACACGACAAAATGAAAGAGGCGATCGAGGTCATTGCTCACTTTAGAAAGCAAAATGCCAAAATATGACGTTGAACATTGTTGCCGTCCCTCTCCATATAAACATACTTTTATATATTATTATGAGATTACCTTACAAGTGGATCCGTGGCGCAATGGTAGCGCGTCTGACTCCAGATCAGAAGGTTGCGTGTTCGATTCACGTCGGGTTCAAATTCCCGCTTTTTAATTTCCTTTTTTTATCTTCACGTTTGGTCCACATAAATCCTAAGTGTACAGGTCACTCGAACTCTACATTAATTCCAAACTTTCTATTTTAAAGATTTTGTATTTTTCTTGTGGAATATAGTTTTGTTTTTTTTTTTTTCATTGTATAAATTATATGGTCCATTAAAAAATGAGTTTCTGTAAAATGAAAACATTCTCAATTATATGTTTAAATTCTGTTGAATCAACGAGTGTTTGGTTTGATTATCATTTTTATCAAAATACAATTTTCTCTCTTCTTTTTAACTACTCATTCTTCATTAAAATAATATTACACGTAAATAAAAATTTTTTCCTTATTTTTCATCCACACATTCTCCATCAATTTACTATTCTAAAATTCATTTTTTCGTAAAAATAGGTATCAAACACTCTCTTAATTTACACATTCTGACGCTTTTGTATGTATTAAGATCAGCGTCAAAGGTCCTAAACCGTTATAACCTAAGTAGGAATTCCAACATTCTCAATTCCTTGTTTATCAATATCTATTTTGTAGCTAGGAAGAAACATCAAATACCAACACGAACAAATTTCAGAACACATTCTGCAGAAAAAGCAAGTTACGGTTACTCAATGAGTGATTTCAAATGATCGAACCTGCAGCTAGTTTTCATTATTCCTTCTCAACAAATTGTGATATCACATGAGTTTTCACTCAAAAGATATATACGTTCTCTTAAACTCCTTGGATTCTTCTCTATTGTATTATCAAATCAAAACGCTTGTTATGGTTAATCTCCCAAACAAGGAGGAAAAAAAAAAATCTGAGTTATACATACCAATCATGCAATTCCACGTACAACTCAAAAATACAATGTGAATGAATCAACGATTCACAATTCACTGGATCCATTTTTCCACACTCCCAACTTGAAAAATGTGAATACTGAATATGCGCGGCGCTCATAGACCAAAGGTACTCTAAGGGTTGAGAAATGTTTCTTCATGCCTCGTCCCACTCATCATTCTTGTATGAAACCAGTGTGTCAACCTTGTGTATCTGCACAAGTAAACGAGGAAATACGTTAACCAGGATCAAAGTGCCTGCTTTCGTTATCTTTGTTCTATAAGCTTTTTGCCAAAATTATGTATGGCGAACTGCTAGTTTATTTTCGGATTTTTGCCTTGTGTATGTATGCACGTGTACTCTAAATTTTGGACCATGTTAGATGTACACACAAATTTGTACAAAAAGTTTTACTTACACTCACAATGGGTGTGGGGACAACAAGCCAATATTTTTTAAATTTACTTAGGGTCTGTTTCTTTTGTGAGAGTGAGTAATCCATTTTGTAACAATGTATTTGTACATATATATTTATCCCTAAATTTTTACCCATCCAGAATTCAAATTATGAGAACCCCAGAATCGCTCTCAGAATTAAGCTGAAGATTTTACCTTAGTATCAAAAGAATGCAGTTTCACCATCTGAGGGTTGGCTATCAGTTTAGGGTCACTCTCAATCCAAGTAAATGGAACTGCCACATCTGTGTCTGTGTAGGCTAACACATCAAAAACACCTGCAATGCACAACCACCAAGTCAATTATACATGGCGGATCTAAGCTCGAAAGTTAACTTCATGAATACTGAGTCCGTAACGTTAGTTTGATAGGGAACCAAGAACAAGAGCACTTCAAACATAAACATGAGCCCATCTCAAACATCGGGCTCTGATGTAAATTTTCGAGCAACATCAAACGAAAACAATCCTAATTACATAAATCTAATAGATTCTTACAAGGTTCGTCAAGGCATGGCAAATATGTAATGCTGGATGCTATCTGTCTCATAATAGCTTGAATTTCCCTCATAATTTCCTTATCATTTTTCTCCCTTGAAACTCTGTATGAAAAATTCAAATTCAACAGATATTCAAACCAATAAACATATTTCACTGCCCAGATATTGCTTATTCGTAAACTAATTATAAGTTGATTAAATTAAATTACCCTTTTTCGACAACCTCTTTATCCGTCTCAATACTGAAATTCCACCTCTCTAAAACCTCACCAGTTGCCTTGCTCATGATCACCAGAACTATCCTCTGCAGCTTCCCAGATTCCAGCCACTCTTAGACAAATTCAAATATATAACGTGAACAAATACGAAATGAATATAGGCGATACAGAGATACTCAAAGGAATTACAAAGAGAACACACACAATCAAACTGTTACAAAAATAATCACAGAGAACGCGTAAGTATACAAAATTACCAGAAAGCTGTGCTGTTAAGTTTGAAAAGAGAAAACAAGAAAGATTCTTACACAATCAAACTGTTACACAAATAATCACAGAGAACGCGTAAATATACAAAATTACCAGAAAGCTGTGCCGTTAAGTTTGAAATGAATGATTTGACACCTTCGTCCTGAGTAAGCAGCATCGGAAGCCCATATTTCTTGACCTTCGCAAAACTTTCTTCAGGGTAAACTCCACGATTGTACAGAATACTGAAAAAAAAAATAAAAAAATAAAAAAATTCAAAGTTAAAATCAAACTCTCAAAACCATAAGCTACATTCAAAATTAAAGAATCTTGGATTATACCTGTTTGCAGCATACCCTGGAAAGGGGTTCCGCAAAAATACAGAAATTAGTCCACATTCTTGAAAACCCACAAAATAAAGTTAAAAAAATTGAGAATGCAAGACACAAACCGAAGAATTCACTGACTATGGCAGCCGATCCACGCAGAGTAATTATGTCTTTTGTAGCAGTTCTTGAAGCCATGGATACGCTTTGAAGACTGTGGATTTTGACCAGGGTTCAATAAAATCTTCAGGGATTTTAAAGATAGAGATTAATGATTTTATGTTAGGAATATTGGTGGAATGTGAAGAGATTGATTTACGGTTTTGATGAAATGGAAGGCAGAGGGCAACGGCTTCTTTCTAGTTGGGTTTGAGGTAACGGTCTAATTATTTAAAATATTGTACATTTTTAATCACACGTTTTCAATATAAAATATTTTTTATATAAATTCAAAACATTTTCATACTTTTGACAAAGCATTATCCAAAAAATTCATTCTTCTAAAAAATTTAGAATATGCTGTTTAAATTATTTCATGGTAAATTCCACTCAACTTTTTAAATTGGTGTATCCTTAACTGAAAACTATTATTCCGCAGATCAAATGGCCATGTAAAACTTACGTATTGTTGGATTGAAATTGTATAATTGTCCCAAACATTTTAATTATTTCAAAATAACCCGGCTGAAAACTTCAATTTCCAATATTCGAGAATTTTGTGATCCTTCTTTAGCCCATCAAACATCACGTGAATGTCACGTGACTATTTAATTCGTTTTCTATTAGTCGTGGGCATGAACGCAACAAATGGTACATTAGGACCTCTGGTGGAATTTATCAATCATTTTATGATAATATATAAATAATTTTTCTACCTTTCCGACTAAGTCCAACGCAAGGGCTCTAAATTCACTATGCATTCCTTCGTGGACAAGAGGTGGCCAATAAAACTCTTTTCCCTAAAAATGACATATTTGGTTATTACGCCAAGCTTCACATTGAAAATCTTGGAATAAACCATTTTTACACTATGGTGTACAATCCCCTCACATGAATTAAAAATTGTGAGCCATCTCATTGTGATGGGGCTGTACACCAAGCAACCTTCGAATATCTTTGATTCAAGTGCTAGCGATGCTATTTTCAATTTATTTATTTATTTTTTAAAATTTTTATAAGCCTTAAATGGGTCGATCTGTTTTAGAAAAAAGGCTCACTAAGGTCTTTGACGTGGCCTGCATCTTATAGTAAGAACCGGGATATTTGATGTCCTTGGAGACGTGACATCAAATAGAATTGCATGCACAACACTTCCTCTTCTGGATTATTATTCTTTTTTTTTTTTTTTGGGACATTTAGAAAAATCACAACTGAAAGTCAATGTCACGCTCTAACAAATAAATATGAATTGAAAACCAATCAACAGATTCTAGAATAAGGGTCTATTTAATTGCAAAGATGGAATTTGGGTGAAAAGAAAACGAATTATAGGGAATTGTAAATTATTGTGTTTGATTGATATAATTTTTCACGTGAAAATTGTTGAAATAAAAGTGTTTTTGGTGTTTGTTTGGCTTTGTTTTATATAAAAATTATCAATTAAAGGGATATATTTTACTGGTATTGGGATGAAATTTGTTTCCACTGTAAAAAAATTTCAATAAAATTATTTATCTTTTGGTGTTTGTTTGACTTTGTTTTAAATGAAAATTACCAATTAAAGGGAAATATTTTTTTACAATAATTCCTAGAATTTGTTTCCATTGCCAAAAAAAAAAAAAAAAAAATTGCTACAGTAAACCGGGAAAATGAATTCTTTCGAAAACATGGAAAATGTCTATGCGGCATGAAAATGTGGAAAATAAATTTCAAGGAAATTTTTGCCAATCAAACACCCAAAAAATAAAAAGATGGAATTGCAATTCCATTTTTCATGGAATTTCCTACCTATCAAACAATGCCTAATAATATTTGACTTGTGTAATTATACGATGTTTTGAGTTCATTTGCATTTTTCACAAAATGATTGAATGAGTTAAGCCGTACATGTAGATGATGTTCTTAGTTCATTAAGATTATTCTTCAAATTTTGCCTTATATCATTTATAAGTTCCATGACAAGGCTAATATATTTGCACGTTGTATGTAATGTTTGGATTGACTATGAAACATTGATGATTGAGTAATTGTCCTTTCACGATAAAGGGTCCAAGCCAATGTACTCGTACATCATTAATTATATTTTTTTCTCATTCTATAAAGGCTTCGTTTGTTTTTTATTTATGTAAGAATGAGAATGAAAAATATAGTTATTACAAGATTCACACAAAAAGATAGAAATTCAAATATGGTGGCTTGTTGTGATGGAACATTGATGATTGAGTAATTGTCCTTTCACGATAAAGGGTCCAAGCTAATGTACTCGTACATCATTAATTAGATTTTTTCTCATTCTATTAAAGTTGAAATGAATTGCCGAATTATATATAGAAGTTAATTAACTTCTAAAGATCCAATGTTTGGAGACATAAAGCATGTGTTGGAGAAGTGCAATGAAGCAAGTCATGGACTCATGGATCATGTTTCAATATGTAACTAATTCTTACCTTGAAATCTCCTAAAGTTCCCAAAAAATGAAATATCAGTTTGACTCATTCCAATGGTTGAAATCTACCTATTGTTTTTCACTAAACCTTCTTTAGCCCCATTAAATAATCCCTATGATCTCTCATTTTTTTTCCACTCTAAATTGCCTTTCATCACTCTCTGTCTCTATCGAAAACAAATCTTATACTTTCTGTCTCTATAACTGTAAAACATGCTTTCATGTTTTTAACCGAATTTAAGTTGTGAAATTGACTTGAAAATCCTAAAAACGAGGTTGAATTACTTGCCTATCGATTGCTTGACTCCAACACAGCCTTGTACCCTCTTCTTGGTAAAAAAACTAGATCACCAAGGAAGAAGTTTGTTATTCACAATTCAAGAACTCAATTTGAGATGTTATCTTCCAAAAATCAAGCCTTTTTCCTCATGTATTATTCTTCCACTCTCTTAACCCGAACTTTTCTTATTTTTTGCTTTTTTTAGAATAATATGAATAATGGAAGTTGATGGGAGTTATGGGTGGTGGGGAGGTTAACTTTCAAATTCAATTTTCAACCCCTCCTTCCAAAATTCACTTCCATGCAAATCGGGCTGGGTTGGGTCAACCCACATGGATGACCAGTTTTCTTCCAACATCTCCTACTTGCACATGATGGGTTTGACCTGATTCTAATCAATTATATTAATCTCAACATCTCCAAGTTCATACAGGTAAATGGATCGTGTGACCAGCGAGTTAATTTAAAAGTACACAACACTATACACCTGTAAGGGATATATATCATCTTAGAAAGAGGAATTATATTTCTCGCTATACCCCAGACATATTTTGTAACACTAGTTCGAGTATTTCTGACCCCTCAATTTATTTTAGAACATATTCAACTTTCTTATTTATATTGTATTCACAATTGTGTCACAAAACTCAAATAATCAACACAATTGTCCGGTCGGTGAATACAAGCTGAGGTGTTAATTAAATAGTCTTCCTTTCCTACTTGAATCCCTTCATTTCAAATTAGCTGCTTTTCTAGACATGTCTCATTAAACCGAATCAACCATAATTATTGACAACATGCTAAAGTAGCAACACTGAAATAAAATTACGAAAAACAGTCAAAAGTTATAAGGGTATATATAAGTGAGGTCAAATGTGCCTCAGAGACTCACACAATGAAGAAGTAGGGATCAATTCTTTCATTTCTCATTGGTCGTTAAAGCACATGTGTTACGATGTTTTCTCTCTTTCTTAGAGTGTATGTCAAATCTTGCAAATCAAATACATCGTACAAATCATAGTTCAGATATTCCTCGATATCTAACATGAGTTGTCCTCATATTTATTCCTCTAGATAATCTCAAATCGAGAACTCGATCTGGCTGTAAAAGCAGGTCTAATGGATAAAAAAAAATATACCAATTACTTGTTGTAATATCATCTTGATATCACATCAAGGCGATTGGATCATGTACACAATATGATCACTGTGTCTCATCTCAGCACACCTCAAAGTGTCTGAGGCGATTGTTCGTGTGAGTGAACCAATCTCAACCTGTTTGACATAATTTATGTGTGCATATGCAATTGTAATAAAAAAATCACAATAAAAGATTACTTTTAACATGCGAACTTAAAACATTGTTTATTAATGGACATATATGAAAAAGTTTACATAGTCTACAATTCAAATTCTACGCAATCCCAGAGATTTAACATGTCATAAAAATATCTCTAGGGATGGGTTTTGTAAGTGGATCAACTACCACTTGGTGCGTAGAATTATACTGCAAACTTACTTTCTTCTTGCCTATGATGTTTCTTATAAAATAATATTTTGTATCAATGTGTTTGGTTCTATTGTGATACTTGGGATCTTTAATATATGCAATAGCAGCCTGACTATCACAGTAGATCAATATAGGTCCTACATCACCACTAACGACTCTTAGATGATGTAAGAATCTCCTTAACCAAACAGCTTCTTGTACTACCGAAACACATGCTACGAATTTTACTTCCATTGTGGACAAGAAAATACATGTCTGTTTTTTGCTACTTCAAGAGATAGCACCATTATTAAGCAAGAATACATATCCTGAAGTTGATTTGCGCTCATCTAGGTCTCTACCCCAATCAGCATCTGTGTATCCTTTTAAGCACAAATCATTTCCTTGATAGCATAGTGAGTAATTAGCAATACCCTTCAGGTATCTCAATATCCTTTTAACAGCTTTCCAATGTTCTCTTCCAGGATTGGATTGATACCTGCTGACCAGACCTATGACATGACAAATGTCGGGACGAGTACACATCATAACATACATCAAGCTTCCAACCGCACTGGAATATGGAACTCTAGACATTTCTTCTTTTTTCTTGAGAGTTTTAGGACACATGCGAAGACTTAGAGTTTCGCCTTTTGATACAGGAGTGTCAATGGGATTGCAATTCTTCATTTTGAAATGTTCAAGAATTTTCTTTATATATAGCTCTTGTGACAGAGTAAGAAGCCTCTTTGAACGATCTCTATGAATTTTAACACCTATTATGTAATCTGCTTCACCCATGTCCTTCATTTCAAAATTTGAGGAGAACTATTTCTTAATGATTTTAATATACTCCTTATCATTCTCAGCTAACAAGATATCATCTACGTAAAGAGATAAAACTACAAATTTCTGGTTGGACTTTTTCAAATAAATACAGTAATCTTCATCCATTATGACAAAGTTGTACG